ATGACTGGAATTGAAATGAAGTTGCTTGTGCCATGTATCGATTCTCCTTTTCTTTGCCTTATAATGAAAAAAAAATCCTTCCCTTCCCTTCTCTCCAGTGTCACCGAATTATCGGTATCGTGAAGTGCCCAAGCTTTGTAAGGCAGCAGACCAGCCACTCAGTTTCGACCCCTGTTAATAAAGTCTTGGGACATGGAGGGGTTCTGAGTAAGTATGAACGTTTTATAAAAGATGCTCTGAAAGCAGAAAAGTCAGTTTTTCTCGACCATCTGTTTGTCTGCACAGCTAGACGTTCTTGCCATTAACTCCTGCGCGGGAGCTGTCCTTTTATCAGTATCGGTTTTTAACTACTATTTAGCACCACACAGTTTAATGTAAAATTCTGCCAATCGTAGAGGGGAAGGGAGGATGTTTTGTATGGAAGATGCTGTCAGCTGAGATTCTTTGCAAGTTTTTCTGTGTTATCTTTAACACTGAGCAGCTCCTTTGTTCCCACTCAGGTCAATTTGTGGGATCCATAAACCGTTTTTTGTACAAGAGAGGCTGCATGTCTACTTCAATACTGGGGTAATCCTTGAGTTGTAATAAACAATCTGTTTTCTTCTCCCTTCCAAAACAGGCTGTGGTACACCTTTGGCAGAACAGCTGCTCTGATGGGAATAGACAAATATCACCTACAGTGACCATGACTGCCAAATAGAGCTGTTGCAGAAATGCAGATCAATGCTAAATGACATTTGCAGAAACTAACTAAAGTCGCTATATCCAAGAGGCAGCACTGAGGACAACATTTGGCAATTGGTCTAATGCCTATTTTATTGATATTTTTACAGTGTACAGATATTGCAATAAGAATTGCCCACCACTGAACACTTAGCCTACAAAGAGCCCGGCACTAACTAGTACTTTGTAACACAAAAGCAATATATCATGAAGTAAATAGGATTGTCCCCCACACAGTCATATTTAGCAAAAATTAAAACCTTAAATGTGTGCCATTTATTGCTCTGTTCTTAACCAGTGAAGTTGGTGACTGTGGCTATATGCCAGTTTTACAGCTGTTATTCAGGGCAGCCTCTATCCATCATTGCTGCATTTAAACAAGAATGTCTCATCTGGGTAGCTATGCTCACAGTGGAAAAATCAAGTTGAGAAACAGAACATTATGTTGACTATTCAATACATATATTGCAGTAGTGCCTACCGGGGCCCTGCAGTGAGAGACCCATTATGCTGGGTGCAGAACTAATGTAGAAAATAGGACAAGATTCAATGTTGCCCACTTTTAGATCCAATGTTGCCAATTCTTGTAAATGTATCGTAACTTTTCCAATATTTGGTGTGTTTTTAAAGCCCCGGCTGCTGGATTCAGATTATTTCTTGAGAATTTCAACTTTTCTTTTTTAAATAAAGCATGTTTCTAGCCCTACAGCTGCAGAAAAACATGTGAAAATGAGAATGCTAAATGTTCCACTGACAGAGGGACCATACTATATATATTATTTTATAACGCTCATGATTTTAATTCAATTTTATGATTTTTTTGGGGGGGGGGGAGGCAGATTTGGGATTTTTGAATGCTACCCATTGTCAGTACTTCAGATCCTGTTCCAAAGATCTTGCAGTCTTAAAACAGGAAGTCTTGTTGATCATAGAATCATGGAAGATTAGCACCAATCCCAACTGAAACATCACAGGCAGGGCTTTGTCAACCCGGGATTTAAAAACCAATATGGTTGGAGATTCTACCACTTCCCTAAATAACCCATTCCAGTGCTTCACCAGCCTCCTATTAGTTTCTTCTAATACCCAACCTAGTGGATGGCAGACCTCCCCCACTGCAATCTGAGACTATTGCTTCTTGTTCTGTCATCTGTCACCACTAAATACGTAAGAACGGCCATACTGGGTCAGACCAGAGGTTCATTTAGCCCAGTATTCTGTCTGCTGACAGTGGCCAATGCCAGATACCTCAGAGGGAGTGAACAGAACAGGTAAACATCAAGCGATCCCTTTCCTGTCACCCATTCCAAGCATCTGAGAAACAGAGACTAGGGATACCATTCTTACACATCCTGGCTAATAGTCATTGATGGACCTAACCTCCATGAATCTATCTGGCTCTTTTTATCTTGTACAGTCTAGTTCCATATTCTTTGGAACCCTGGATCAGGTAACTGAAGGTTGCTATCAGATCTCTCTTCTCTTCTCTCTGGGTATGTCGACACTTGCACCCTCTTTCGAGAGAGGGATGCAAATGAAGACATTTGAAATTGCAAATTAAGATGGAATTTAAAGAGGGATGCAAACATTTGCATATTCACATTATGGCGCTGTTTCGAAATAGCGCTATTTCAAAATAGCGCCATAACACGAATATGCAAATGAAGCACGGGATATTTAAATCCCAGCTTCATTTGCAACCCACTCTTGAAAGAGGATACAAGTGTAGACATACCCTTCTTTTCTCTCTTCTCTTCTCTTCTCTTCTCTTCTCTTCTCTGAATAAGCCCAGTTTACTCAGCCTTTTTTCATAAATCCCCTAATAATTTTCATTTACCTCTGTTGGATTCTCTCCAATTCTATCCATCTTACAGTCCTTCTCTTCAATCCATGATTCTTTAATTTGCTGGCAAGAATACTGTGGAAGACCATATCAAAAGCATAGCTCAAGTCAAGGTATAGCATGATATTGATTAGATATTGTTATTAGGCATAGGTGGTGAGTTGTATGGACCCGTGGTGCCTGAGCTCCACCAATGTCAGGGCTAGGTATCTCCCCTGGCTCTGTTTGCTGGCCCCTATGCACCTTCCCCAGGCATTGCTGTCCTTAGAGTCCTGAGCTGTGCTTTCCTGCAGCCTGCAGCAAATAGCCCTGATAGGGTACAGCCCACCAGCAGGCTGACTGCTGCATCTGCTGAGGGAGGAGGGGAGGAGACACATGGCATTCCTCCTTCCCACCCACCTACAGACAACTTCTGATTAGAGGCCTTCCTGCCTGGAGCTTGGGTGAGTGTGTGGGGGGATGGGAGTAGGGTGGAGAGGAAGGGAGGAGAGGGAGAGCACAGGAGAAAGAGGAGATGGAAGCCTTAGCTCCATCCCCTTCCACAGCTCAAACCATTCATCTGCACCCAAGAGCCTTCACCCCAACCTTCTGCCCCAACCCTGAGCCCCATCATCCCATCTCCCACACCCTAGAGCCTGCCCTCTGTCCCCAACTCTCTGCCCCACTCATGAGACCCACACACACATCCCAACTCTCTTATCTGCACCCTAGCACTTGCACTACTGCACACCAATCCTTTGCGACATTTGTGAGCACAACCCACCCTCCTGCAACCCAACCCTCTCATCTGCATCCTAGGGATTGCATCCCTGCATTCCAATCTTCTGCCTCAGCCCTGAGACTCTCCTGCACTCAAAATCCCTCATTCACAGCTCCACCCCAGAGCCAGAGTACTCACCCCCTCCCAGTGTTAGAATGCGAGTATGTGCGGTGGGACTTTTGAACCTGCTCTGGGCACAACCAAAAATTATACAAACCTGCCACATCTGATATCAAGGTATGGATTAGATTTCTCACCTCCAGTCTGGAAGAGATGAAGTTCCTAACAATAGGGTCTCTGACATATACTCACACGTCTTTAAGATGCAACATCATAGCATGATGTTCCTCTGCTACCCAAAGATATGAAGGAACATTTTAATGGCCCATAACATGCACAAATGTTAATTATACAAACCTGCCACATCTGATATCAAGGTATGGATTAGATTTCTCACCTCCAGTCTGGAAGAGATGAAGTTCCTAACAATAGGGTCTCTGACATATACTCACACGTCTTTAAGATGCAACATCATAGCATGATGTTCCTCTGCTACCCAAAGATATGAAGGAACATTTTAATGGCCCATAACATGCACAAATGTT